CTGAAGAGTAAAGTGTGATGTTATATAATGAATGCAATTACAAGGACTTACCCGTGCAAGCAGCGGAGAAAGATAACCCCTATCGAGACAAAGCAATTCGCATTCAGAACAAATGCAACACTTTGAGATGATTGGGGGGGGAGTATTCAATTTAAAAAGCAAATTTCCATTTTGGATATCTGATTTATGAATGTAAATAGTACACATGCATGAACAAGATTGTCTTTGTATTGAGTTTTGAATGAAATAACAAATACCCCTAATTAGAAATCCATTTCTCATTCACAATTTGAACGTATATCTGTGTCTGTAATTTTGTGAAAATGTGTTTTTACAGGTTTGAAAAGTAATTGATTGATTGTTTTAACTGAAAAGCCAGGCCAAAATCGAGCACTTCTGTGTGACACATCATCAGCTTGGATCAGCCGTAGGAATAATGTAAACAAAGCACAGATGATTTCTCTCTTCTCCGGCCCATAAAGAGATAAAAGCTGAAGGATGAATGGTAGAGGGAGGTACACATCACCTCAGAGGAGCCGGCTGCTGACCTGTGAGCCAGTGCAGCTACTGTGTGTATATTTCCCTTGTGACCGGGCAGCCGTCGGCGCTGGGGTCAGCACTCAGCCCACAGCCTATTGACAGCTGCTGCCTTGACTTTGATGCTCCGTCAGTGTTCAGCATATCACTTTCCCACTTCCCTCCGGCGTTTCTCCCAGCCAGCGCTCAGATGTGTGTGTGTGCAACCTGAACGCACACTCGCTCGCCTCTCATTATGCCACCCATGCAAACTTTGTCTATTTGCAGCTGTTTAATGGCCGCACGTCTGTTTTTGTTTGTTTCCTCGCCATAAGATTATTGCACCTTTATGGTTGGTCGGGGGGTTGGAATAATCCCTGGCATCTGTTCATTGAGGGAGGGGGTGAGCGGAGAGCCAGAGGTATACTTTTTTTGTTGCTTTAATACAAGGCCGCATGGTCTACTATTTCATCCTCGGCCTCTGAGAATCGGCTCACGTCTGAATTTTAAAGACGCTGATGGAGAGGCTGCGAGGCACAGAGGTCACATGTGAGCCCCCTACGGCTGTTTATCCATCCCAAAGTGAGCAGAAAATGGCAGGTATTAATCTAATCACTGGGTATACACTCATTTACTTACAAATATATGCGGCACTAACCCCCAGAAGGTATTTATTGTTTGTTCTAGCAAACAATATAATCATTGACACACCATATTGACTCCATATGTTTCTTGTACTATTTCCAGTTTTATTGCTTTATCCTTTCCTAAGCATATACATACATAATCCTTTTTTTGACATCTGCCAGCTATCTTTCCCTAATTCATAACTATATCTTGTCAGGGTTTCAATGCTGCCGGCATTGGAAGCACGAACAACCTAAAGTTAATCAAAGTGGCATTATCTCCCAGCTTGCACCTGGAGGCGAGGGTGCTGGTTCGGCTGTGGTGGCTGGGACCTCTGCCAATCCAGCAACCCATCACGCCACAACGGCCTACAGCTCCTCAATCATTGTGCCAAGTCATGATTGGTAATCAAGCCAAAAGAGCCTTCTAACTTCTCCGTGCAGGCAGAAGAAAAACAAAGCTATGTGTTTTAAGCTTTTGTGGAACCACTTGTGACTCATATTTTACTGGATTCTGCGGCGTGCTGTGGGTGTGGGCGGCGTTACGACACCTTGTGGAATAGCAAAACAACAATTCCAGATCCTAAAGGGGTTTTTTTCAGGCAAACAAGGCAGTATTTGGAGATATGTGCTTTAAAAGTATGATGACACTCTTAACATGTGTGGGGATGATATTGTATTGGAGGAGCTAGCCTGCCTGCCCTTGCTGTCTCTGACAAATGCTTGCGCTGGAAGTGAATTGCTGCCTGTCGCTGGTAATCATTAGGTTGTCTACTAGCATCCAAAGTGCTTTTATTTCTGCCCATTAGTTTGGTGGGAAAATGGCTGGGTATAGGGCCAGTGTGTTCTCCTAGCTCTGTGACTGATGCAGAAGGCTAGGCAACAAGCTCTGGCAGAATCAAAGCGTTTGAAGGATCTCTATTTATGCCAGTTGCAGGCCGTAGCCGTTAACCAAAAAGCACTCCTCTGTACTTGCAAGTATACTTACATGTCAATATGGCAAGACTGCTTTGTGCTTATTATTCAAAGGTTAAAGAGCGAATTGATCCATATGGGAGTGTCAAGGGCAGATCAAACGGATTTGGGGGAGGATCGGACCAAAAATGTTAAAAGCTTCTCCCACTCTCAAACACGTCAATCTCACGGAGAGCACCTTGATGTCCTCAGAGGAGAGAACTTGATCAAAGTGTTGGTAACAAAGCTGTGTCTCTGAAGATGATTTGACCTCAGCTGTGTCCCACTTCTGTCTTTCACTTTATTTTTTCACCGTTCAACGTTTACCTGCCCCAACTCCCGGCATCCTAGGCCTTCCTTCATTCGCACGTCTTGTCCTGTTTGCACTGCTGGTTCGACTGTCGGAATATCAATGAAGCAGTCTCAGCCTTGTATTACAAACACAAGTGAACAGTGATTAAAGATGACATATCTAAGCCTGACTCCCCTCTCCCCTTCTTTTCCACAGGAGATCGCAGCTTACTTGATAACTTTCGAAAAGCATGAAGAATGGCTAACCACATCCCCTAAAACAAGGTAAGACAATTATATCGCTCTTTAAAATAACTAAAGCACTACGAAACTCTCTGAGTATATCTTTGGAGGCTGAATTTGCATTTTTGTCTTTTTTCCTTTTCCTTATGTAATACCAGATTCTCTTTTGATTGGTTAATACCTCTAAACATAGAATATTGTTATCGACTAATAATTGCCCTTTAGCAAACCAATTAACATAATATGCTCTCCGCTTTGCTTTGAATTCTGTTAATGTGTTCCAGCACTTTCACCACTCAACTAATAACTCAGAGAAGCTGAGGTTTGCCTGGGTCAGAAGCTACACCCACACAAAAATCAAAATGCCAAATCCAGTTGTGATATTTTGTAAATAGAGACGTGTCAGACATGCAATTAACTTCAGTAACTTATTTTGGTATTTATTCAAATTGATGTCACCTGTAGAGGAAATTAACTATTGCATGACTTTGAGAAAGACCTCTCTAAAACAACATTTAACCTTCACCTTTGCTTCACCTTCACCAAATTTCTTCTCTCTTCCTATTGACTCTACCATTTGCTCTTTGAACTAACAGCTTTCGTTTGCGAGTTTTGTCACCAGCTCCGGATCAACATAGACCTCTTAAACTCTGCTGCTAAAACACCATATTTTAACTTTACATTTTCATGCATTACAAATCCTTTCAATATGTTCAACCTTTCTCTCATTTCCCTGGGCGGGTCCTGCTAGCCTGGCATTATTAGCACTCCTCATCCATGTGTAAATGGACCCAAAGCTTACCCTTCCTCTCACTCCTCTCCTCCTCTTCTGCTCTTCACCGCTGCCTCAGAGGGACATTGATAATAGTTTTGCATAAAGACACTGTCAATTAGAATACATTCTCCGGTGTAATTATGGAGCATGGGCCAAAAGTGCAGTAGACTCACCTGTTTTCATATCAGAACCCAGCTCACTGTTCCTGTGTACGTCAGCTGGTGTCAGATTAATTTTGCTTATTAGATATAACCTGAGTATTTTCTATTAGGTTTGACTTTATTACCCCATATGTAGACTAAGTGGTTCAGGAGCATTTAAAAAAAAAAAAAAAACAAATTACATCATAAGGTCTCCTCAACTGGTGTTTCATGATTCTGGACAAGAGGTGGAAAAAATATGAGAAAATTCAAGTTTTTTCACCTTTTGTTTTTCATAAATACATGTTTTTTGTCCCTACAGAAATCGTCTTGTTTAATTATCATGGTCTGGGACCAAAAAACAAATATTGATCAATATCATTAATAAAACATTTAGAACATAATACAAAACAAAGATACCCTTTCTGTGGAAAAGAAAAAACAGGGTAAAATCCGAGGCACTCTGATAAATAAAAAGTCCTTTAATGAGAGAAAGGGACCAACATGTTTCGGCTGCACAGGGCCTTCTTCAGGGCAGTGTTAAAAAAACAGTTTAACAGGTGTTTAAATAGATACATCACATACAACACCGCAGTCAATGTAATCAAGACATAGATACCACTACAACACATACATCCAAAAGAATACACTCCACAGGAGGGGCCCCTCAGTGAACACATTATAGAAAAAAATAAAAAAAAAAACATTACCAAAACGCTGAAAAGTCAACATCATCATTTAACCCAGGAAAACAGTAGCTTTAAGTTTATCGATCCAGAACGTTTCTCTTTTTGCAAGTCTTTTTACTCTGTCCCCACCCCTCAGACTGGCAGGTATCACCTCAATAACTGTGGCTTGTAACTGATTGAGATTGTGTCCAACTGAAGAAAAGTGCATAGCCATAGGACAATTTGGATTTTTTTGTTTTGATCGCATACTTGTGTTCAAACGGCGCTTTGTCATTCCAATTTAAAAACATCCACAAGGACACAAGGATAGTTTTTGTCTCTAAATCGGCTATAAAACATGTCGGCTATTTACAATTTTAGTCATGTGACTTCTATAAAAATTGAATGAGCTCTATATTTACAGCCCTACATTGTGAACATTGCACGTGCCATTTTTTCTTGAGTTTTGATGTAGTGACCTGGGTGTCAAAGCAGTCTTTAGGTCGCTCCTGGCCACAGTGTGCCTCAACCGGGGGTCTTTGATTCAGTGGTCTCAGCTGCCACAGAGCCCTGGGACTGGTGCTCCGTGCCATACATCACTACAGGTGCAAATATGTCAGAGATGAGAGCCCGCAGTGTGGACCCCAGGATCCGCTGCCAACACTCTAGCAAGACATGTTCTGAGAGTGCAGGACAAGCAGGGAGCACACTGTCCCAGCATGTTTTCAGACTACAGACGGAGTGTTTGTGTTTTTGTCCATGTCAGGGAAAGGGTATGTGGTGATGAATGCCGGGGCAGGAGAAGGTTGGGGGTGTGGTGGCAGGCGGCAGAGTGAGCGATGATTGATGGGAGCTGATTGATGGCTCGCCTCCGTATGAAAAGCTTTTTTCTCAAGGTCAAGGGGGAAAGGTCAAACTGGGGACACCTGTGGTTAAGTGCAGCCTTATCATTTGTCATCACATATCTGGAGGCGTGGGTGCCTCTGCTTCACATGGGCGCTGTGCTGTCTGTGCTGTCTGCGCTGCTGTCTGTGTGGCTTGACCCTGATGGGAAATAGGCTAAGTAGGCTAATTCTCTTCATGCCAGCGCTGTGGACAGGGTCAGCAGGGCACAAGGGGAGGTACAGATAAGCAGCACACCGCTGCATGGCAGCACGCCGTGCATGAAGCTACTCTGACACACGCTGGTCATAATCATAGAATAGGCGCTAAAGCCCAAGAAGCTGACGCCGGCTGTTTGACCAAGGTGACACAGCATGCAGGACATGTTGTCAACACCAGGAGGATGAGATGAAGTGGAGCAATTACATGTGCACCAATGAAGTGAATGCATATCAGTGCGTCCCATACAGTTACAGTGTCCTGGCTTTTGATTGTTTATCTTTCTCAAATCTGACGTGTGCCAGCGGAGAGTGCTGGAATGCTGAGTGATTGATGTGTCTTGCCCTGGTAATACACATTCCCTTTCAGATAGGAAGTGCAACAGTGCTTAAAATCAATAGCAGTGTTCTCCCACTGACTGCTTGAACAGCACTACAGCTAATTCAGCCTGCACCTGTCAGAGCTGGGAAATCTTTCCCTACCAGGGCCTTACACTTTAATTTACACCCACAGCCTCACTGGCTTCCATTTCCATTAAAGGAGAGCCTAGCATTATGGCTTTAATGAAGGCCGTGCCCTGCCTGTGATTTAAGATGGCTGTTACCCTGCACTTTTCTCCACAGCAGGGAACACACTTAAAAGGAACAATTAGGGATTTCCCTCCCTACATTTTTGGTAGTGTCACTCATTCTTCCCTTTTAGTTGTGTCCATGTTGTAACTGTACGTCTGAACATAGCAGACCAGAATTGCCAAAAAACTCCAGACGATTACCGTTATTTGATCTCATCATGGCCACTGTGTTGTGCTCCTGTCGTGAGAAAGCATTTTGTATCCATCATAAGTGACACAAATGTCTCCTCCAGGTGCTGTCTCACAGGGTCCGAATGCTGACAGATGGAGAAAATGTTGCCTGGTGGTTGTCACATTGATTGGACAGTCTAAAGAGCTAATGGCCACCAGTGTGTCATATAGAGATTGCTTGTTATTCTGAGCATCTTTCAAATGGCACTTAAGTGAAGGGGTCACACATTGCATATAGGACAGGTGAACGGCTCAACAGGCAAATTAACAGCTGAACTTTGAAGTCATGTTGATTCTCTTTCACTGTGCAATGCTCTCTTGTTACTTGAACAGCAGGAGCATTGTTACAAAATGCAGTCACCAATACAGTGGGTCTGCTCCCTTGACCACAAACATACAGAACTGACTCACAAACAGGCCTTGTATATTGAAACTATCAAACAATAAGCACCAGTCCTTGGAGAACCCACAATGACACTGAACCCTGCCGCCCCCATGTCCCAGCGCAATAGCCCTCTCCTCCCACAGACGGAGCAATCGCAGAAGCAGCTCCAAAATGAAACCCAGTCCCCTCAGACAGCTCCCAAAGACAATGCTTTTATTAAAACCAACAGCAGGCCACAGGCTTGGGCACAGTCACAATACAGGAAGCACAGCTCATAGGCCGCTCAAATCTACTAATGACTATTTGTTTTCACCGGTGTTGGCTTGGTAAATGCCTGTGTGTTCTTTCTCCTCCGACACCTGTATCTGTGTAAATACAGTAGATTTATTTCTGGTCTCCATAGAGAACATTTTATTTGTAGGCACCATTAAGACCAATCCTCAGATCTTTAGTTTTAGGTTTGATCACAATCTTGAAATATTCCAATATTATTTGTCTGTTGTAACTTTAGAAATATTTTTTTTATTTTGATGTATTGGTAGGATTGAATACTGATTCATTTATTATTTTCACGACTGACAAATTGCATGATATACATATATACATATACTGTATACATCAATGTTCATTATTAATAATGTGAGTCCCAGTGTTTCCCCCTTTGGCACTTCGTAGAATCCGTAGAATATGTTGTCTCTCACTAAATAGCCTCTAACCAATTTTGCCTATTCCTTTAAGCCAGAGCTTATCTTATTTATTGGTGTAACTTTTGCCATTTTCATTTTGGAATTCATCTTTCCAAGTTGGAAAGATGAATTGCTGATGTATTAAATAATGTCTTCTGCTACGTTTGTAAAGTTCTCGTATCTATTTTGTTAATATCTTGTGATGTTTTGTTATTGCATTTCCTAATAACATTCAAGACTTGCTTCTCATCATTGAACTAGAATTTATTTCAATTAATCCCCTCAGTGGTTCGTTTGTTAGTTGGAAAATTCATAGCCAGAGCTGCCCACATTAACAGGAAAAATATTAAAACCATCAGCAATCATCTTTTTCTCCCTTATAACGGCAATACTTGGGATGAGAACCATACAGGACGATAGGAGCACATTAAACAAGACAAAAAAATCTAAATATCTTAAATCAGATTTTTTTTTGCTGATGTACAAAACTATTTTACACTAGGAACAAATATATATCTTCAATTCTCTGTAAATAGAAGCAGGGGTTACAGGTCAATAATCACACAGATGTCTATAATATGTAAGTAAAATCACCACCGACCAGAGTCACACAAAGGAATAAAAGACCTGCGGACCCTTTCTTTCTCACTGTGAGGAACTAGGGTCAGTAACAGCCATTTTCTGCCCGTAGGAAACGTTTTTACATGTATGTATTTACAAAATGAATGAAGTTTATTTTGTAACTTACCTGCCAGTCCACTGGATCGGCCCTGTACGCCAGTTATGCTGAAGCTGGTGTTAGGTCTGACAAGGACAGCTGAGACCAGTAGGGAACAGTATGGCTGAGAGAAACGATGCAATGTGAATGAAAGGGATGCAATGAAAAATGGTCATTGAAAAAGGTGTGAATATGATGGAGTGAGGCCAGTTTTGAAAATGGAAACATATCGATAAGAGTTGTGAAGGGAGGAGATGGTTATGGGAAAAATGGTGATGGATGGTGTGCAGCAATGGACACCATCTACACAAACAGACAAAAGATGAAAGAGATGAGACTAGGATAGAGCTGACATACCCACAAAGGGCTTAGCCATAGATTGAAACAACACACTGAAAAGTCATGTGGCGTGGGCATGGGAAGCACAATGCAAACGGTCAATAGATTACAGCTAGTGCTGGGCCAAGTGCTGTGCCTTAGACTCCTGGCCAACTTAATAATGCCTCTTGTTTGTCTGTTCTCTAAAGTAATGCCCAAGTTGAGCCTAGGGAGGCAGCACAAGCCTGAGGCTAGTGAAAATAGACAGGGGACTAGATATATGTTACTTCTCATCCCATCTGCCGTATATTATCCGGGCCAGTTTGCCCAACGGAGACTATTCAACGGAACATAGCACATCATCCAGCTTTATCGCCATTATTATCCCTTTCTTCTCACCAGGACTGCTGCTGTCCAAACAGTGCACAATGCATTTGTGAAGTTTAGCTCAGTTTAGGAGTGTATGCCAATAAACATTTGTTCTGCTTTCTCGAACATAAAATGCTTACTTTGTTACTTACATGACGTCATGCTCAGTTCAGCCTGGATGTAGAAAGTGGCTTTGGCTCTAAAGTAGTGGGAGGAAGAGCAGCTAGAAGTGGCCACAGGAGAGAGAGGATAAATAAATAGAGGAGGAAGTTGATGTCAAGCAGGTGTTCAAGGAGAAAGTGTCAGCCAAGCAGGCCGAGATGTGGAGAAGTGCTGCCTCTGCAACCTGATAATAAAGACTTAATTCAATTAGCGCTTCTGCACTGGTGAGCAGCCCAGGTTGCTGTCACTGAGAGGACCATGGACACAGCAGAGCACAGCCAGACTCCAGGCCCCCCTCACCCTGCAGCCCCCCCCCCCCCCCCCCCCCTCTGTTCTCTGAGAGCTTGAAGAGGCTTTTCTACTGTACAGTCTCATGTCCTCTTAACGTCCACTTGGTCATGTTCAGAGCAGAGCCATATGCCCCTACCATGAGAACTAAGATCATGTCACACTTTGTGCCCGGTTGGGGGCTGTCCTTGAGGCATATGGCTCAGTGGAATCACTTCCTGGACCTAAGGTGGCTTTGGCGATTTAAGTGAAAACAAGTACCTTTGTGCTGGCTTTTCCTGGAGCTTATGCCTGACTGCAATGTCTTTAATTGGTAATTTGTGACTATCCCAGGAGGAAGTGGATCACAGGAGCTCCCACATAGTGGAAGGTGTCGGGCAGGAAGTGGTGAAGGAACAGGTGGAGGAGTATGACAAGGACGGGTACGCAGGCGTGTCACCCTGTGGCACTTATGTAAAGAGAAAAAAATAGGTCCTGGACATCTGCCAAAGAGCTAGTGAATCACCAGCACAGAACATGCACGATTTGGGTGCACTGGCACACATTCTGTCCCATTTCTGCAGACCAGCTGAGCTGCATTGAAGAGGCCATTAGCAGCATCACTGTACGGAGTGAAAGGAGCACATGGTGACACTGCCCCTGACTCGTAGCACTAAATAAGTCAGATTTGTGTGACATGGTGTCTTTTATATAAAGTGACATTGATTACACACAAGGTTTTAATACTTTAATACTCAAAGGCTGAATAATATTAAAATATTGGCGCAGTTCAGTAAGTAACATGTGTTTTAAAATGTGGTAGTGGCCACAGATGGTACATTACTTATCTTGCTGTCTTTTAATGCAATCTTTTTCAATCATTTTCATTGCTAGCTTAGTATTAAGTATCAATCAACTGATCAATTTATTGCAATCAATGGAATGCAAGTCAATAGACTGTGCAGAAAAGGATGGAATGATTTTGAAATGAGAGTGCTGAATTACTATTCATTAAGAAGGGCGTGATAATTAATCATTATAATCATTAATTATTTTGCCGAGAACTCTGCACATTTGGTATAATTGGTTGTTTTTTATGACAATTGTATTGAAAGAACAGTGTCTTTCCTTGCCCCTGGTCACACTCATCTTTGTAATAGATTAAGGCTGTTGTTGTGCCGCTCTAGAAGCTGGGCTTTCTCTTATATCTGCTATCTTATATCAGTCAGATAGAAGTTGATGGATCTCCCTTATCCACACCATGGGCAAATTAGCAAACCAAAAAATGTGGGTCCGGTACACCGCATCTCCCAGCCAACCTGCCGAGAAACCAAATATTTGTTTACTGTACTCTCAATATTTGATGCTTTGACTGAAATATTTCATTTTTATTTTTTGCTGTTTGCCTGAGGGAGGTGCCTGCAAGAATAATGAAGACAGGTCAGCTAAGATTTAAAGTTTTGCATGTGAACCCAAAGCAGTTTATTACGGTATGCATTAACATGATAGCAATATGATTATGTTGGAAGGGACATGGAGGTTTTCAATTATTTACAGGTGATATGCCCATTGAATTGGCAATAAAGTGGTTCGTAAATTACCTCCTCTGTCTAATCAAGCCTCCAGCAGAATAATGGAGCTCTGCCAACAAGAAAGCTCTCCCCCTTTGCTCAGTATTTTGAGTGGAGAGTGGGGCTGGCGAGTCTTACGGCGGGATGATGACACTCTCTAAATGACATTGGTTGAAAGGCAAGAAATGTGCCAGAGAGTGCATGTTTAAAACCTCCACACTTCATCACTGCTCAGTACTTTACTGCGCTTTATGTCACCAGACAATGATGCAGTGACAGCCAAGCATCAAAATGTGCAGCACCAGCACCTCATGGTGTGGAGAGAGAAGAGAGACTCACAGAGACAGGATGAGACAGAAATATAGTTACCCTGCATACGTACTGCTGCCACCAAAGTGATCACCATGAGTATTTGTTACAGATGTGCATCATCATGTGCCCTAACACAACTCCCATTGCCCCAGTGCCTCATTCCATTCAACTGCATGTGTGTGATTGTGGGAGAGTGCTGTGTGCAGCTGAACTAGGCATGGGCAAACTGTTCCTCCTGAAGGCCACATTGGAATATTAGCCTGCAGTTGGGGGCCTGACTAATTTCCATTAATTTTTTTCAATAAATATATTATACTAAATATTGTAATTGTATTGTGTTGTGGCAGAGCAAGCTCTTGATGCAGCACAAAGGTCTTTTATAGGTCTTTTGTCTTTACACTAGATTCATACAAGGAGCTCTCAGAGGCCTGATGGAAATGTCCAAGGGCCGCCTCTGGCCCACGGGCCGCAGTTTACACACCACTGAGCTGAATAATGGCTTAATAGTAAACATTTTAAACTTAAGGAAGTCTAAGTATTTGACATAATACTGTTATTTAGAACTGAAAGAAATAATGGATTCAACCATCCCCAGAGCCATTGGATTACCCACCAGTCAGCATTTCACCTTTCCAGTTCCATTGTCTCGTTAGGTGTCACCCGTATTGACTGCTGTAGTGCCCCCGGTTTGTTTTCTCCACCTGAAACTGTGTTGACAATCTTCCAGGACTTCAGGTGTTTGGGGTAGTATTCTATTAAAGCCATTTTAAAGATACAAAGACACAATCCATAAGCACCTTAGGCGCTGTACACTATGAGTGGAGACATGACAGGCAGATGGGAAGCAAAGGGAAGTAAGATAAAAGTGCAGTGTAATGAAGAGAGAATACCTCCTACAGCTCCAATGTCTTCTGCTTCAGAGACGTTCAGAGGAACTCGGTGGTCTATCCCTAAGCACATGAGAATGTGAGGGGGCTTCAGCTGCGGGCAGAGCTGAGCAGGATTAGTGCTGTGTGGGAAGGTTTGGGCCCATTTGTGTTTGCTGCTCTTCATGAGCATTGTGGACACGAAGCTGTGACTGTTTTTTGAAATTGATACATTACAAATGAACAAAATAACGAATGCAGATGTGTCTCATCTTCACGTGTGCTATGAGCACCTAAAATATTTGGAGAACAGACATTAGTTATATGGTGCTCAGTGACAGAGTCGTTCTTCTTTGAGGAGGAGAATGTCCCAGTAGTGTGTGTAGTGAATGAACATAAGCAGCACGGCCTGTCTCCAGCAGCTGTAACAGACCTCTGCTTGGCTTGTGGCACTATAAGCTCACTGCTTCAGACACATTCTGTATCATAACATCTGAGGCAGCTCTTCAGAGCCGCTCCCCGAGGTCACACATGGAATTTAAGAGCTTTTCTGAGGCAAAGAGGTGTGACTCACCCAGAGAGTGCCCTCTCACTCCCCCCTCCTCCCCTCGTTCTTCTGCTCCACTCAAGAGTCATGGGGAGCATACTCAGCGGTAAACCAATTTCATTTAGTATTTTTTCACATTTTTATCCAATCACTGCATGCTTTGAGGTTTCGAAAGCTGCAGGGCGCTTTTATTGGGAGCCTAATTAAGGATCTCTGATTTAATCCATGTAATTTTATTGAGATCAATCATGAGTGCAAGATTGCACGCTCCTCATGAGGAAGAGATGTGAGTGCACACTGTTCCTGTCCAGTACAGTGCTTGTCCCAGTCTTTACAGGTGGTTCCAGGTGGTTCCTCTGCCACCAGCAGCTCTGTGAGTTCTCTGAACCATCAGCTCTGGCCTCCTGGCTCCTCATTGTTCGTGTTCACTTGCTCAGTAAAAGTGGCTCAAGCGCTTTTGACTCTTAGTCTTGTATTGTCAATATTGTTCAATACAAACACATTCCCATACATTGCTTCAGTAATCCTACACATTTAGTCCTTTTCCTTCAGAATTCAAATTATATCAGCTTTACCCACTATACAACTGTAGCTAGCAATACTTGTATAAACAGTTTATACATCAACATTGGCAAGCAGATTTAAGGATATTTTAATGAAGTGACTGTGATGTCAGCTGCCACAATAGATTCCCATTAGAGCTTACACAATGACAATGGCTCCATCAATCGCATAGGTACTGCTAATAACCTTGAACAATTCAACTGTAGGGCAAAAATGTGCCCTGTATATTTTATTTACTCCACAGCACACAGTGTACTGCCTCAGAGAAGGCAGAGGAGCCTGGGGTTGAGTAGGGTGAGGCGTTGCGTGCTGTGCAGAGTCTAGACTGGCAGGGAGAGCACCAGACGAGACCGGAGGGGATTGTGGGGCAAGGAGAGGCCATGTTCAAGTGCAGAGCATGGGTGCGGCCCAACCTGGACCTCAAATCATGTCATGTCTTCAGCTTTTGGACAATAACAGCCTGACTGTCGACATGACGAGAAGCCACTTCCTGCCCATCACTCAGTTGTGGCATATACCCCGACTGACTGCTGCCTACCACCATGTAGAAACGCCTGAAATCAGGAGGTAGTTGGCTATTAAACCTAAAATATATGCCATCACCAGATCTTGCATCATTCAGGCAAGATCCCGTGACAGTTTTTGAGATGCCCGCTATTTCTAACTTCCTGTCTAAGGTATTTTATGCTAAACTGCTCAGTTTTTTATTATAGTCACAAATTCGTGGGTGCGCTAGACTCTCATACCAGGTAAGGGTTCTTTTTTTGTTCTCCGTGGCATATGAGGAGCGAATGTGATGACTAATGTCCCCTATGTGTTAAACTGCAGTTCATCTTTCTAGAGCTCATTATCCCTGTACAGCGGTGTGGAGGGCGGAGGAGGCATTGCTACGCTGGCCATATGCTTCTCATGGCTCCGATCTGTCAGAGTGTCAAGCTGTGGTGTAGTGAAGTGCCGCACTCTAGGGGGCGCTCTTTACTGATCGTTCCACAAAGAAACAAGTGCTAGATGGACGAGAATACACACTGAGCAGAGCACAGTCCTCTGAAACGCTTAAAAGGCTCTCAACAGCAGCCAGAACCTTTTCATCTTCTATAGATCTTTTGTATAGGGCATAATTATAGTTTATTAAGACAAACAAATTATCTGTGTCGGAACAACTATCCTACACTCAATGTTTTGACAGACAATCAAAGATATAAACTCTGGATAACATATTAGTTTTAATCCACAAATCCAATGCAGTGTGCTGTGTTTTTTGTATCACAACTGGCTTCTCATCTGGGTTCTGTAAACACCAGATTTGGCAATAGCCTTTCATCAACGTTTGCCCTTGAATCATTTCATATTATCATGTTCAAGTCAAGGTTTTTCTATTGCACTAATTCCACTCCACATAGGATCTCACTAGGCCTGACACAATAATTACTATTGATTCATTGTTTAATAATTAATGTATGGAGCAATATATTTTGGGTTTCAAATTTTTCACGTGTGCCTTTAATTTGCAATAATGAGACGTTTGCAATGTTTCTATGGCTAAGTATTGCTTAATTCTTATGTATATTAGTTTCATGTTAGGACTTTTAATAATGAAAACAAATGAAACGATAGTTCATGGAGATTCTACTCCTGTTTCGTAATTGCACCAGTGGCACAAAGTTGTTTCATTATTATTGTTTATTGCAATTTTTTTCATAGAGATAAATCTCACACAATCAACTGAAATCCAAGGATGATCAGACAAAATTCAAATCAAGCATCGCCAGTGAGCTAATACAAATAAATAGCATAATTTTGAGATGACAAAATAATGAATCAAGTTATTTTTGCTCCGATGTGTTGTCCCTGTGTGTGTGTGATGTCCCTGTATGTGGAAACATTTTGTTTAAGTAGCCCTCATGGTGTCAGTCTACACGAGTCTTGTAATGCTGCGTGTGATGCTTCAGAGCTTAAGCCTATTACTGTTGTTCCCACACTGCTGTCCTTTCACACAGGCTTAGTTTGGAACAGATTGTGATTGTGAGGGAGGGACTTACTCCATTGTCATACAGTACTATCACGTGTTTCCTAATTAAATCACCTCATCTTGTGTAGTGTGGAAGCTAGTGGTTCGGCAGATGTAGCGCTATGTTAAACTTTATGTTGCTTGAAAATGGCTTCCGCTCCAAGAGCGTTTGAGACAGGGATGGTTTGACTGTAAAATTATGTGTTTTATGGCACCGTTATCAGGGTGATATTCCTTAAAGATGCAGCGCGGCACCCTGGCATTCTCCGTCTGCAAGAAGCAGCAAATTGATATGAACAGATCAACAGAGTTCTGCCCTTCTGGATGTCCTTGGCACCATACTTGGCCCTGAAATTGATTTTGCTCCATATCTTCCATGCCAAAAACTCTCATTGAGAGATTTTATACTCCCACGGCTGACACATTGAGGTTCAGGTTTGGAGAGAATGCTCTCTTGGAATGTCATTTATCCTTCTCATTTATTTCCCCCCCACACTAAATAAACTTAATAGCATTTGAGCAAGGCATTTGTCATTTTGTTTATGTTTATGTTAGATAAATGCATGTTTGAAAGCTCTCCTATTGCGTACATTGCCAGGAGCAGTGAAATTGCTTTTAATTTAATAGCTGTTATGGCTGAGTTGGTGTGTTGCACAAAGTCTGCTCTGTCCTTCCCCTTTCTCTGAGTCTACATTGTTTCACTCACACTCACTCACACATACACATACACACACACACACACACACACACACACACACACACACACACACACTTTGGCTGTGCTCCATTAAGTGGGCAGTGTGGGGAACAGGGGGCTGACGTCAGAGTTTTGCTCACACATATGGGACGAGCTGAATGTATGCCCTTCCATCTGAGGCGTCACTCTCTGTTTACTTATTGTCCCCCAATGCATGTGTGTACTGATTTATTTTGTCCAAATTAGTAAACTTTTATGGAATTTTGTAAAATACTAATAATAAAGAATAATTTAAATGGTATCAAATATTTAAAAAAATATAGTAACGGATAGTTTGACGTGTATGTAGCACACATAAGACACTAAACAGCGTAAATGACACAAAACAGTTAACAATCACTATAGCTAAACTCAGAAGACTTTGAAAAAAGTTTTATTTGGTTTCCACCATGTATTGAAAGGTTTAAAATAGTGCTGTCAAAAAAATAATAATGCAAATCAACATTAACACCGTCATTTTTTTAAGCAAGGCAAGTTTATTTATATAGCACAATTCATACGCAAGGCAACTCAAAGTGCTGAACAAAATAAGAAAGCATTAAAAACATAAATAATAGCAGAACATTAAAAAGAAAGATAAAAATATACAATCCCTCATATGCACAGCTAAACAGAACTGTTTTTAACCTGGTTTTAAAACATTGTCAGAGAGGAGGCCTGTCTCACATCTTCAGGAAGATTGTTGCATGAATCTGAAAAGCAGCCTCCCCATGTTTAGTTCTGACTCTGGGCACTAACAGGAGTCCAGTCCCTGTGCTCCTCAGAGTCCGGGCTGGTTCATATGGGACTAACATGTCACTAATATATTTTGGTGCGAGGCTATGGAGAGACTTGTACACAAGCAGAGCTGTTTTAAAGTCTATTCTCTGAGCCACAGGAAGCCAGTGCAGAGACCTGAGGACTGGACTAATGTGGTCGTACTTCCTGGTTCTAGTCAGGACTTGAGCTGCTGCATTTTGAATGTACTGCAGCTGTTTTACAGCCTGTTTGGACAGACCTGTGAGCAGGCCATTGCAGTAGTCTAACCTACTGGAGACAAATGCATGGATAAGAATCTCCAGGTCTGCTTTAGACACTATGTTTTTGATCCTGGCAATGTTTTTTAGGTGGTAAAAAGCTGCTGATGTTACTGATTTGATGTGGCTATTAAAATTTAAGTCTGAGTCCAGTACCCCAAGATTTCTTATTGCGCAATTAAATTGTGCTATCTACTTTACTAGTTTTTTTAAAGTTGTGATCACTTAGTAGTGTTAGGAAAGAAACCAGAAACAGGAACCGGACAGCACTAGTTTAAAACAGTGTACAAACAAATATGTGCATAAACCCACTGTACAGATAAGAATTAGATATTTACAAATAAGGCAAAACGAGTTGGTCATTCACAGACTTCGGTATCACAAACACCGAAAAGGTCCATATATATACAAAAAATACCCCAAGTCTGGGTTGAAACTGGGTTTGAGTTGCTCCTTGGTGTTCGGGCACACTCAAGCCCAACCAACTGGGTTATGGACGCGGTAGACGGCTCCTGCAGCTCAGCTTTCCTCTGGCGTCTCCACCTCTGACTCTGCCACCAATTAACTCGATAACTTGAAAGGCAGCGCAAACTGTGTGACGTCATGGTGCAAGTGTGTGGCTCAAGAATACAATTACATTTTAACATTATACTCCGATAATGATATATAATATTAATGCATAATAATAAATCCAGTGTTGACACCTGGGTTACATTTACTTACTCAAAATAAAGTTTGATTGAAGTATTATTATGCAGCAGTATATTATGTGGCACAAGGTAAATACTTGTTTCTGATATCATACTCGGTTGCTCTTAGATCTAAGTGTAGACATGCTTTCTTGATGTATTACCCACCATATTTCTAAAGCCTGTTTTGAGCAGTTTGTTACCTTCACCTATAACTTGGACCAAAAGAGAAAAAGGAAAAACAACATTTTCCCACCTTTTGCCCTCTGCTTAGGAGCCCAAGGACTTTCTAAGAGATCTGGTAGTCATTGAGGACTTTTCTAAAGATGCAGAAATAAATATTATACATAGAAAAGGCTGTATATATATATTCATATATGAATATTTATACTGTACATATCATATATAAAAGATCTTCATTGGCTCAAATTTCAGGGGTAGATTTACTTTAAAATGTTTTTGATTGTTTATTTTGTCGACATTCGTTTGAACATGGTTGCAGTGTGCAGTGTGTGCATGTGTTTGTGAAGTCATGTTCCAAGGAAGTACTTTGTTGAGATAGGAAACTATGTCTCAGATCATATGGCCTTTACCTGTAGTGTACTACAGGGCTAAATTCTGGGCCCCCTCTTGTTCATTCATTCGCATGTATGACTGTAGGACAACGGTGCAAATTAGCCCAAGGCTACAATCTGGAGATGCACTATCCCAATAAATGCAATAATTACAATTGATCAGTTATAACGAATCATCTAAAAACATTCACATATTCAAATACTGTGTGTAGTGTCTAAAATTGACTTAGAGTAACTTATCCAAGCATTTGTCGGGTAGTAGGTTCGTTAGTCTACTGACAGCCTGCAAAATGGGAAGGAGTAAAACAGCTGCTTGTAAATTCAAAATGCTGTCTCTCACATTAGTCCTGTGTCCCATGTTAACAGTTTTAGACCTAAAACCATGTTTAATTTTCCTTTTTGTAAAACACTTTGAGTGGCCTTGTGTATGTTCTGAAATTATATGTTCCCTATAAGTGTATTTGAGCCTCAATCCAAATGGACTGACTGGCTTTCTGAGTTACGAAACCATTCTAAAAGTTTAGTCAGTTATTCCACCTCTCCATCCCACGGTATGCAAACCATCATCTCCATAAAGCACAATGCATTCATAGCACTGTCAATCTTTTCTAAACATGCAGGACAATTCCAGTCAAGGCCAGGGTAATTTAAGGTGTCGCTTTATTATTATTATTTATATTTCTTATATTGAAGTCAGTGTTGCATATTGTGCAAAACTTGAGATTGGTTGTTTTTTTATATCCAAAGTGTAAATAGAGTGGTCTGATCCCATAGAGACACACTGCTTCTGTTCAGATCCTCCCTCTGGGCTTTGCTAGCAATGTCTGAGCTAACAACACAATAATACAACAAATAGAGCGAGGAAAGTTTGCACTAGTCTGGTCGAATACCTGTTCTCAATACCTACTGTAGAAGTTGGATCCAAGTGTCTTTTGTATATTTGCAGTATGTTGAAAAATGTATCAAGAGTTAATTACATTCTGACTCTTGAGTGATTTAAAAGAAGATTGCTACAGTGCTCCCTTATACAATTTCATTCCATAAATGTCGCTCCACATAAACCCATTTTGCTGGCATTGTTTCAGCAGCGCTCACCTCATAGATTACAAGGTCAATGCTAATCACTGCTTACATAATGAATTTGCATCGTATGGGCTTTCACTCTTAATGACACAAGTGGAAAATGCTATCTCACGCCTTGCTTCAGAATACCCATCAATGCTCAAATGCTTTCTCTGGAGTGATTAAGAAAGCCTTGACACATGGCTAATGTTGTTATCGTGCTGTTCCAACCACTGGGTGACCATTTGTGGCTTGTTCATCGAGACTTTGGCATCCCGGAAGGCGCATAAAAGGCTAAAGGCAATTACTCAAACTTAATAAATGATAAAGCTACATTGGTTACCTGTTAGCCTGTCAACACATATGGTTATGGGGGATTAAGCTGCAGATCTTAAGCTGCTCCACATGCTTTTGTTTTTCTTGTCCTTAGTTATGTATGGTGTGCATGAGGTTATACAATTGTCACCCTGATCACCTATCCTCTGTTTCGGAGATAATGCGTCTGCTTTTAAACACTTAGATATGTACATTAAAGAGCCAGGGAATATCAAGATCAAGTTGCGTGTATTTTCTGTGCAGGCTGTTTTAAAGGGCTTCTGTTAGCTGTGAAGAGAGAGGTGAGGGAGGAGCAGAGTACCAGCATAATATTCCTGAACATTTCATCCAAATCCTCCCAAAAACCTTTTTAGTTATAGCTAATACTTAACAACTTAGTGTCTCTCTACGTTTATAAGGAAGTATGAACAAAGAGCCAAAGCAATTTTGTGACTTCCTGTTTCTCACAATGGCAATACAAAGAATGTTGATTGTAATTCTGATGCAGAAGAATAAAAATAGACACTAGTGAACAAAATAATAATGAAACATTAAACTTTCCTTTTTCTTCAATACTGATGCTTTGTCTGCATGGTCCAGAGTAAGGGATAAGAGTGCATATTCCTTCTCACCTATAATTGTTGCTTTAACTAGCAGGCACTTGTTTCTCATCCGATTGTACAAGCAATAACAAGGAGCCTAAAGTTGTGCATAGTCGCTGTTTTGTTGCTCATTTATTTTGCGAAAGAACTAGCGTTTTTCTTCGCTGGCCTTTCTACTTTTAATCCTGTACAAATGGTGAATGATTCACAAAGAGAGGAGTCCTTTTGAAGAACAAAGTCAGCTTGCCACAAACAAGTTGCCACAGAAGCAGAATTCAATCGCAATGACATCTTGTGTTTTCAAGTCTAGGGAGGGAAGGCATCCCTCACAACAAAATGATATAAATTACTAGTGTTATGTTATGGTCTATACGGTTCAATTTAATGTGCCTGTAATGATGAATTATTTTGGTTATGAATCTAAAGTGGACCTTAGTGCAGTTGGAGCAGCAGGACTGTTAGAACAATTGCAGCTGTCTCCCAGGGCTGTGGCCATTAGTCAATAAATTAGAAAGTAATTAGTTTCTGCTTCTGTGGCTCTATTTGAAGCGCTTCACACAGGTGTAATGAAAATTTATTGGAGCTGTTGATCCGGAGGAGAAAAGAAAAGTCGAGGGTTTGTAGCGTGTGAGTGTAATGCAGGATTTCCATTCTCTAGAGTCTTTTGTTTTGACCCTGACAGGATAAAGTGCTGTGAGAGACTGGACATTGTGTGATGGTCAATGTGTAGCTTTTTTTAGTCTTCTTGGGTTCCCTAGTTTCAATATTAAGTGATTTGGGGTAAAAGCCTCGAATTAATTCAACCAATCAACCTCCAGACATTTATGCACTTTTGTAATTCCAGCTTTGGTCTCATTAGTAGCACTAATACTGCATTAATGCAAAATAGCAATCCTCAACCCAATTTTACTACTAACAGGCTCATTTTCTTAATTGCAAATCATTAAATGTTTTTCAGACTATGCTGCCTTGGACTGAGCTTACTGGATAAACAGAAGAGAAACATTAGGGAGAAACAGGAGTCCAAATTATAGCTTTATACTTTTACAGTGTCAAGCATATATCTTTTAGTCCAAACAAACACATTCACAAATATCTCTTTTAGAAATCCCCAAGAGTGACACCCTACTTGAACAATGATTTAGCCTCATTTGGCATAAATGTGTTGGCTGCACAGCTGCATATTCAAACACATGCACAAGCATTGTTTCATTTGCAGTAACTAATACTCTGTATAATGGTTTTGGCCATATCTCCCGCAAGCTCGAAGGCCAACAGAATTGTGGCTCCGAGACCAGAGATCGGACTGTAGGCAAGCAGTGTTTACAGCAAACTCCCCTGTTCATTATTGCTTTTCTATAGTTGAATTTAGTTTCAAATGGTGATGATTGTAATCATGTATGATACCTGGATAGAACTGATTTTTTTTAGAAAGTACTGTGATAAATTCCTCTGCAAGATGTAGTGATTAAAGTTATTTATATGCGAATATGTCGTCTTGTCCCGTGTAGACAGCACGTCGCTGCACTGCCAGTTCTCTGTCTCTGTGTGCATTTGGCTAGCGGGTATCTCCAAACCCTTTGTTCTTGATCCAACATTTTTTTATTCGATGTCATGTGACAGGAGGGCCACGCCGCAACTTTGACATAAAACAAGGCGAGACATCAGACTTGAGCCATCAGGTTTACCTAATTGAACAGCTTCACATCGCTCTTTCAAGCCATTGTGTGTGGATCAAGAGAATTTGGTTGGCAGACAACAACAAGGCTATTTGTTTTGTCTGCTGGAATGTAAGGTCAACAGGAACGGAAGAACAGAATTGGAAAATGCTCACACAGCCATGATGTCAGTGAACGGCTTGAAAGGGAAACAAAGCAGCGGATATGTGTAAAAGAGAAGGGTGGAAAATGAAAGAGTGACTAGTCAAAGGCAAAAAGACAGAGAAGCGAGGGAGCGAGACGGGGGACGCAGATACAAGAGGACAATGAGGCCCGGGCCACAGCCAATTAGAATAAAATGAGTTGGACCTTGGCAAAGGCTAGGGCACACTGTAGGGCATGAAGAGAGAGGAGGAGCTGTGATGGAGGGGCGGCAGGAGGCAACGTATCCCGGTGATTAAAAACAAATGATTAGTGGTGTGCGTGGCAGAGGGCTGTGGAGCGCAGGTCACCTGAGCCTGCAGGGACACAGAAGGTCCTATCGTAATGAGTCCAAGACTCATCTCCTATCTCCTCCCACTGTTCACCTGCTCATGTTCAGACCCTGTTCAGGGCTTTAGCTTCCTCTCTAAATGTCCGAAGGACATTTGTGTAGATAAATGAAAGAGTCAAATACATGTATTTCACACATTTACCATTTTGTTTATAGTCTTCTTTTTTTAAGCATATAAGATAAGTTTAAACATATTTATTGGCCCTATAACTGAGTAGAACATCATGTCTTTCAAACACGTTTTCATTGCTGTCTCAACTTTTTTCTAATTGAGATGAGTCCTACAATAAAGGGCCTCACACCCCCAGAGGAGCAGTGGAGCAGTTAATCAGCTTTTTCTTGTGAAGTCCGCAATGAATAGGTAGAGATATCATTGTGTCTTTTTTCTGGGGAGGCAGCCAGGGCAACACCAATACGCTGCAAATCAACAGGCAGTCATGCAGAACATGCAGCCAGACGATAACTGCTGAGAAATACAAGGCTCAGAGATGTGCACAATGTCCAACCTGCTTTAATTACAACTATTAAAGTATTGACTATTATAATCTTAACAAGTTGCCCCCGGTTATATGCAATTATGTTATTTTTTACCCCTTTTGGTCTATAATAAGGAAAACTGTAGACTTCTTAGGATTGTCTTTTCAGAGGCAGTCATTTCTTTGGTCTCTTATTTTCTCATGTTACCACTGTGCTCTTGTTTAGCAGCATTTGCGCTGTAGATTAGGCTGCAGTTGTCCACCCAGAAGGACTGGTAACATCTGAAGACATGTCAGTTGTGAGTCCTCACTCAGAAGTGCTGTGGCCCAGGGAGAAAAGCACACCGCCCCAGGTCCAGAGCACAGGGCAGCAGCACTGGGAGTCCCCTAGATAGACCTGAATAAAGAGTGATCCACGGGTGGATTGGAGGCCAGACAGTGCAATTCTGTTCCTCTCCTACAATAGAATGAGACGAAGGCGGCCGCATGCACAGAGACAAATACACTCTGTACTATATGTGGCCATTGTTTGAGTTGCCAAATTGCTCTGCTGTGCCTGTGATTATCTTTGCTACAAGACTCTATGATGAGTTTGGGAAACGTCAAACAGAAAAGAAGCAAATAAAGACCTCCCTGCTGGCCTCCTGTGATGACTTAGCCAAACCAGGAGACTTATCACAGTAGCTGACATAGATGCCCATGGGCTTGAATCACTTTGAAACAGAAAGGAGAAACACAGTAAAAGTGCCACTACGTAATGCGCTGTACAGTGTCCTGGGATGGCCTCTGCTCCCAGGTGAATGTGGCAGTATCAGCTGCATAGGAGGGACAGGAGGGCCATGCACTTCCACGACAGCAGGGGTCATGGGTACCTTTGGGACAGTACCCCCAGAGGGAGCGTGCAGATGGGTCTATAGCGTGTTTACAGACAGGTGGATGCCTGTCACCCTTTTCTGCCCGTGCAGGCTGCAGGTGGCCTCCTTTCCCTCTGTCACCTTCATATGGCACCCCCCCCTGGGGGCGCTCCCATCATACATACAGTGTGTCACAGACACACCCACTCTCTGAGTCATCCACACCTGGGGACAGTGAGAGTAAACAGTGGCTCTCAAGGTTGAACCCAGGTGTTTCATTTCCATTATGGTCCTTATTGCAGGACCGCCTCCTCCCTCTGACTTTGGTCATAACACAGACAGGAGCATCATTAGATTTTACATTACCTCTATGCCTTTGTAGATGCTGAGACATACAGGGTCTATTTTAGATGACTGCATATGAAATAATTATCTGTCGACTCTCTGCCCCCGACATCTTCAAAAGAGGATGTTCCATTGATGATTTTTGCCCTACATCACAGCTTTGCTCTTGCCACAACTCTAAAACCCGATATAGAGTGATTAAACTAACAAAGTGACATCAATAAAGACAGAAGTGCTCTGTAATTACAGTGTGCTAGGACATCATAAGCAGCAGTGTCATCACCCAAACCAAGATAATAAATCGATGGCAAAGTGACAAAGAGCTGCTTAATAATGCATCTCATCGTCACACAGAGCCCACTATAAACAGAGGAAGGCCAGAGTTTAATGACAATCTTAAAGTTGTGGTGGCCACGAGCTTCTCCTTTACTGCTGCTGCCCTCACTACGATGAGAACCTTGGCACTGTGAGCACTGACCTCCTCTTCTTCATTAGATGTGCTTAGTCCAGAGTTTTCTATGGTGCCCTCTGGAGGAGCATCAGCAGCAGGTCGCCTCCTCATAACCAAATCAGCAGTCATAGTCCGACATGCACACACCAATATTATGTGGGCTTTTAGATTGGCATTCCCATGTTGCCACTTTCTGCAGTGGAGCATGTGGACGGCAGGGTAAATGTCAGGCAGAGATATTTAATTCTTTGTGCACGTACACATAAACTGCACAGACTGAGAAACACCTCACACTGATAGTGAGTGGAGTGTTGGGCTAAATGTCAAGAAATGATGTAAATTCAGATGATAGCTTTTGCAAGTGCTTTATCACAATGCAGGATGCATCAGCCTCTCAATGTCCTCTAAGACTGGTCTTCTGGACATCAACAAGAATAATTCTAGCATAGTTTTGTTAATGCTTGAAATGTATTTAAATACAGAATATACTTGATTTGCTTTTGCATAGTGTCATAATGTTTGCCTGTGTTCTAATACGAGGGTTGAGAGAGTATTATGTCTAGTGTTGATATTGTCTCTGGTGGTTTACAAATGTAATGCCAATTATAATTGTTCTCATGCTTTTGCGGAACAATCATTATTATCATCTTGCCCACCTGCTACTGCCATCTGCTGTTTATGAGTAAAATGATCTGTTATCAAAACACCATATAATCCCTTAAAAATAGGTGGAAATAGTCTAGAGTGACTGATGAGTTGTTTAAGTGAGTCTAGTGCAAACCATACAAATCCAGTGATGAATTAAACATACATTTAATTTGATGCTTTGTCAGGCTGTGCCATGCAGCCCTTTACCCGGCTCAGAGCCAGCACAAAGCTCTTTGCCATGCCGGGGCTGTTGCTTTGACTCGACCCCCCACCTCACCCCGCCCTGCTCTCTGCCTACTTGCTGAGGTGACTGATGAGCAGGCTCACTGGTGTGTCAAATATGGAGGAAATAGTCAATCAGCGCGGCTGCTGTGACAGGCCTGTGTGCTGCTGTACTCAGGAGCGCTGGAGTCATGCTTGCTGCAGACGGAGGATGAACATTTCATGCTATGGAATAGGAGGATCCACTCTGTCTGTACACTCTGGTTCTACTGCTCCTTTTGAACTTGGCCCACCACACGCTGGTCAAGCTAAGGGTCTTACTGTTTTATGATGTTAATACAATTACAATCCAAACCTGCTTTGCCAGTGTTTGCTGACCTGCATGAGGAGCACACTCACGTTGCTGCTACTCTAACTCAAAATGTATCACGCACTGAACTATTCTCTGCATGTTGTGTGCGTGTCTTTGCGTAACCTGTGCAGCAATATTGTAAATACACCGCTGAAGCTGAACTATGGAGCCTCAGGAAGTGTCTCTACTGAAACGCAACTAAACTCGCTAAATAAAAGCTGGGCTACGTACATTTTCCCTTTAAAGAAGCTATACCCAATTTTTTTTCTAAGTAGTTCATAAAAATGCTTTTTACTAGATGCAAGTTGTATCATAATACATCATTTAATTGAAAACTTGAAGTAATTGATTCAGCTGTGTGTAAGGGACCGATGGTGCAGCAAGAAACACACACTGTTTAACTAATAAGGCTTTTTAATTAGCCAAAAAATGAGCCAAACAATACAAATAAATGAGGCCAAAATCAAATGTACAACTGAACATGACAAACACTGACCTCCCACAAGACACACCAGGGGAACATTTAAGCTGGATGATCAGACCAACTATTAACTAAAGGGGGTAAACAAGACTACACAAAACAGATACATTTACTTAACTAATTAAGGATAAAGTTAATAGTAATAATATGACTAATAATAATAATAATAATAATAATAATAAAATGCTAATATATGCTTATACTTAATATAGAATATAAACTCAAATGAATCTCCCCAAACATCCCCTCTTCTGGACCTGCCATGGTTCAGGCCATAGGGTGGAGCCTGGAGGTAACACCCTCAGCTGGAGTGGGTGGAGTCAGCTCACAGGAGTGTGAGCTCCAATTGTGGGGGAGGAGTCAGCCCTCACATACCCCCCCTCTTCAAAAAGTTCACTGTGGCTGCGGGAAAGATAGTCAGCGGTGTGGTTCTCCTTTCCGGGAATGTGCTGGACCACAAATCTGAACGGCTGCATTGCGATATACCATCTGGTGATTCTCCCATTGGTGTCCCGCATCTTCTCCAGCCACTGCAGAGCCTTATGGTCTGTCTGCAAGACGAACTGACGTCCCAGCAGATAATACTTAAAGGAGTCCAGCGCCCATTTTATGGCCAAAGCTTCCTTTTCAATGGTTGCATACCGCACCTCCCGGGGGAACAGCTTGCGGCTTATGTATGCAACCGGGTGTCTGTCTTCCGGCGGTCCTTGCAGCAGCACCGCTCCAATGCCCCGGTCCGATGCGTCTGTTTACAAAACAAAGTCTTTGTCAAAATCCGGACAGAGCAACACTGGATCCTTACTCAAGGCTTGTTGAATGTCCTTGTACGCCGCTATCCTCTCTTCTGTCCACTTCAGCTGATTCGGTTGCTGAGAGCCAGTCATATCTGTCAGAAGTGCCGCTCGAGCAGAGAATTGTGGGATGAAGCGATGATAAAACCCGGCCATCCCTAGGAAAGACCTTAACTGCTTCCTAGTTTGTGGCAATGGACAAGATGCAATCGCTTCAATCTTTTTAATCTGCGGTTTGATTACCCCACCTCCAATTATGAAGCCAAGGTACTGGGTCTCAGCCTGGGCCAGAGAGCACTCCACAACAATATTGGTTGGAAGTTTATACTTTAAGGGCAGGTGTGAATCCAGCTCACCTGGTGCCGTTACAACAGTGTGATGGAATTTCTGTTGCCTTTTCTGACTGCGTGGCTTTCTGGACTTCCCGGGTTTCGCCTCCAGCTCTGCATCATAAAAAGGTAAAGCACTAAGAGCAGGTGATTCGTCACACCTTTTTGACTGAGCCCTTGTGACCACATTGCAGCTTTTTGTGGGCTTTATCAAATCATACAAGATGGGCATATCTTCACCGAGAACCACTGGAAAAGGTAAGTTATCGGCTACTCCAACACTCATCAGGTAAGATTGTCCTTTGATTTCAATGTACACATCAGCAGTCGGATAAGGTTTCTCGTCACCATGAACACAGCATATGGGGATGGTGTCTTCAGTGCAAATGAGATTGCTTGGAACATAGTTCATATGCACCAGTGTCTGAGTACTGCCTGTGTCCAGTAGGGCTTTTACAGTTTTCCCATTCACTTTCACAGAAATCACTTTAGTATTTGTACTCTTCTCATCCGTAGATGTTAACGTTTGTCGTGGCACAAAGCACATCTGTGTGAATCTAGCTGGGTTCTTTGGGCACACCGGCTTAGTATGGCCTTCTTCTCCACAAAGATAACAGATGGGTATTTTGTTTAACCTCGGCATCAGGTTTGTATGTGGCCCCGTTGACTGACCTTCACTTGCAGGCATTTTACTAGGTGGTGCCCTCTGGTGGTGCGGTGGAGGTAGCTTCCGAGCTTCTCTCCCAGCCTTCCATGCGGTATTGGTCCAGGATTGATTTTTCTTCCGAGCTGCCACAAACACCTCTGCCAGAGTGGCTGCGTCTGAAGCAGTCTTTGGGTCATGCTCTTTAATCCAAACCTGGAGCTCTGGAGACAACATCCTCAAATACTGTTCCATTATAATCAGTTCATTGACATCATTCACAGTTTTGCATTTAGGTTGGATCCATTTCCTATATACCTCTTTCAGTCTTACATACAGTTCTTTAGGGCTCTCTCCTGGGTCAACGTTGAGAGACCGGAACCTTTGTCTGTAGGTCTCTGCATTTATATCATACTTTTGTAAAATAGCCATTTTAACATTTTCATAGTCATGGGCCTCATCCATATCCATGTGCACATAAGCAGCTCTAGCTTTCCCAGTGAGCAAAGGAATAAGCCGGAAAACCCAGTCTGTTTGAGACCATCTACAAACTACTGCAATTCTTTCAAATGTTATGAGATAGTGTTCAATATCGTCTTCACTTGTTAACTTTTCAAGCCTTGGTTCATGAAATGGTTGAGACTGACCTGTGAGCACATGGCATGCTGTGGAGTCTTTAGGCTTTAGGCTTGTGTAGGCCCATGAGGGAGGAGCTTTCTCCTCTGCAGGACTGAGCATTGAGATTGGAGGCTCAGGATCAGGTGTAGAGCATTCCTGCACCTCTTTCTGAAGGAGTTGAAATTGCTGTTTTAAAGCTTGAAATCTATGTTCCTGTTGTGCTCTCTCTCTTTCCCGTTTTACCTCTTGCTCCTGCTGCTGTCCCATAAAGGCCTGTAAAATACCTGCCAGGTCTGAAACTGTTGGCTCCCTGCTCCCAGCCTCTCCTTTTGCTCTGGCTCCATTTTCCTCTTCATTCACTTCCTCTTGACTTTCTTCAGATTCTTCTCCATGTTCCACTATTGTATCAACTTTCCCAGCGGTTTTAGCTCCACCTCGGGTGACGGGCTTGTCTTTCCCCATTTCTCCCCAAAAAAAATATGCAGGAGGATCCAGGTGGAAAAGTACAAAAAAGTATCAAAACAGGTGTGTTCTTGACCAGATCGATCCCACCGCTGCCACCAAATGTAAGGGACCGATGGTGCAGCAAGAAACACACACTGTTTAACTAATAAGGCTTTTTAATTAGCCAAAAAATGAGCCAAACAATACAAATAAATGAGGCCAAAATCAAATGTACAACTGAACATGACAAACACTGACCTCCCACAAGACTCCACTCACAAAACAAGAAGCGAACAGCCTGCGTCCTCTAGCCTCTACAGCGCTTCGACTTCAAAATTCGAATATAATTCTAAAATAAAAAATATATACATATTTGAACAAATATTAGACAACCCTTATAATTCGAAATGTATTTAATGACCGCAAATAAAATAGTTAGCTCCCAAAGGTTTCACCGGGACGTGCTGGACAGGTAACAGCTAAGCTAGCTAGTTGTTTCACGGTAACTTCCGGGTTTTTCGCGATCGCTTTTTGTCACATTAAAACAGTATTTTTGTCATGAAAACGTTGACGGCAAATTCTGAAATCGTCCGTGCATGTG